CAGGGCCCACAAACTACCCAGAGGCCCCCAGCTCCAGGCCTCCCCGGGCGCAGCGCCGAGCCTCGCGACCGGGCCGTCCCTCGCGAACCCAGGCGCGGAGCACCCGACACCACTGCCCCCATCGGCGCTGACGGCTTCCACGATTCAACCCACGGCGCCCTCCGAGGAAATTACGTCAGAGTGCTGCTGGTCCACGAGATCCGCCGAGTTGCCCACCAACCTTGCACAGGGCACTGCCAACCTCAGAGACGCGGCGCCGGTAAAGGGAAAGGAGCGCACAATGGACCAGTGTTCGGCCGTCAGGCACCCGACCCGCTAAACGGGCGAGGACTCCAGTTCCCAGGGCTGGAACAAACATGCCCCCAACTCTTCAAAAAAGGACTCATCGGCGTCGCCACGATCGACGGCAGCCAAGGCGACGAGGCGAACCTGGTCATCTTGTGCACCACCCATTCCAACCCCTATGGCCGATGGGGCTTCATGGACGACCCCCACGGGATCAACGTCGCTTTCACCCATGCCCAAGAAGGGGTCGTGGTGCTTATGAACGGGCGCATGGCCTCCACAGCCGCAGAGTTCCAGATGCACACCCTGGCAGACTGGGCTACCAAGGCCAACCTATGGACCCAGTCCCTTAATTTACCGGGCACCAGGCACAAGCTGACCGAGCACCTTTCCTCCCTCGACAAAATCCTTCAGGCCCCCATCGGGTCAGAAGATCCGACCCCCCCCAAGAGGATCAGGCAAGGATCGCTGCCGAACGCGACATGCGCTCCGAGGACAGGAAGGCCCAGAAAATGTCAGAGCAACGCGTCCTTGGCTTCCAGACCCTACGCGGCAGTAAGCTACCACGCGGCCACTGCTGGGACAGGCTGGCCCACGAGTTACAGACTACAGGCACCACTCTCATGCGCGACCTGGCCCTTGCCCCCGCCCTCTGCTGCGTCCTGCATCCGCATCTGCACGACCCCGGGGGACGCGGCCAGAGACCTCTTTGAACAGTGCCGCCAGATGGTCGGCCACGACGGGTACCTCTTTGGCATGGAGCTGGGCCCCGACCACGCCAATTACGCATGCGCTGCCAGGGGCGCGCCTGCTCCAGGTTGCAGGCCTGCAACCCACCGGCAACCACGACCAAAGGGCAGTGCCGCTGGAGGAAGACAGCAGACCACGCGCCCCACGGAACTTCAGGTACCCCCCCACCGCCTGGAGCCAAACCACGCGCGAATGCTTCCGCCATCAGGGACAGTCCTCCTTTGCCCACCTGCATGCACTAACCCAGCCCCCCGACCGTAACAGCCCTTCTATAGACGGACAGCTGCCAACCCGACAAAGTATTTAAGACCCCCCAGGGTTATTCTAGCACCGCAATGTTATTCAATATTCCACGGGGGCATTTTCGCGGAGCGAAATCTTGAGCACCGCGCGCAAACAACAAAACAAAATCCCAATCGGTGGCGGCCCCTACGGGGCCAAGGAAGGAATTCGCAGGGAATGTCAAGGATCTGTGCTAAGATCCTGCGCATGTACTTGCGGAGGGAACAGCGCCAGAGTCCGAGGATGGCTCAGCAGTGCTTAGTAGAGCTCAGCAAGGCCCAGCAATGCTTAGCAGAGCTTTGCAAGGAGGCCCTCCTGGTGCCGAAGTAACGCTTCCAGGGTGCCGGATGCGTTATCGTTTCACCGGAAGGGGAGGGTCTTAAGTACTTCTCGCGGTTAGACCCAAGCGGAGCACTCATCGCCCGACCTTGGACCAACAACGCACTCGTCCTGATGCTCCTGCTCATCCGTGAACCCAGGCCAGCCTCTTCCTGGAACGACCTACTCTCCCTGGACTTCCCATTGGCAGACACACTAACTGCCTGCATCCTCCTTACCACTTCCGCCGACCTGTCCGCCCTTAGCAACCATCGATGTGCAGTCTGCGCCCTATCTTAGGACCTAGTCGGCTCCGACGTCGGGCTCATGCCCGAGGCGCCCACGGCGACGCAAATCCAGTACGGCAAGCTCGTGTCGTGACGACCCTGGCGTTGGTTTCTGACACCGCGTGGATCGTTCAACCTTGAACGATCGGCGGCTTTTCGATCCCCCGATCGTTCCATGTAGGCCGATTCTGAGCCACTGGCGGTGTTCAACCTTGAACGCCCGCGGCTGGGTCGCCGCTGGTCGACACGACGCGAACCTACCGTACATCGGCGGCGGGATATCCGGCAGTAGGAGTGACCTCAACAAGCCCCCGCCAACTGGGGCCCTGCCGGGGGCCGCGCTATAATCAGCCACCCTGCAGATGGGCGACAACCGTTCCCACGCAGCCGACCAGGCCCCAGACGTCTACTGCGACGAATGTAAACACGGCCCCTTCGACCACCGCAGAGCCGAGGGGAGGTGCCTGGGTAAACGCCGAAGTTCGCCAGATCCCAGCAGCCAGCCGCCCGGAATCCTACAAGCGGGGATCCGACAGCTGGTGGCGCTGCAGCAGTTGTTGGAGGACCAACCAAGCAGTCGTGGGGCACCCCATACCAGATGAAAAAAACTATCCCCCTTCCTCCAAGACCTCGAGTCGCGACAGCACCTCCCCGCGGACGCGTTCCAGCCTAAACCCCTGCCTACCAAACCACTCATCCACCTCCCTGACGCCCACGCACCGCTCTGGCAGCTCCTTTTGCCCCAGCCAGGCACGCAGGACCCAGCCAACGCGAACGCTACGATTCCCACCCGACGCTCTGGGGGCGACAGGTTCGGGGGGAACGCCAGCGCAGACGGCTGGAAGAGCAGATGTGATCGCTGCCCCAACTCCGCCCCAGTTCACGAGTGGCAGTGCGGGCACACCACCGAAGGCATTTTCATATACCGCCCCGGCGACCCTGACCCCACGTCCACCACCCACGGCCTCCCGCCTTTCAACGACTGGGTCAAGCTATTCTCTAGCATGCAGTGGAATGCGACCTGTTACTGCGAGCGCTGCCTGGTCGACCGACGCCCAGGAAATGCTGACCCGGGACGGGGCCGAAGTCTACCCCGACAACCCGCCCAAGGGGAGGCGCCCCTTGCCGCCGCCGCAGCCCGCCACCAACCCGCTCCTGGACCAAAGCGCAGAATGCGCCCCCAGTGGCAGCCCCCCGACCCCAGCGGACTGAGGTGAACCAGCCCCGCTGATTTCCCCCTCCTGCACCTCTGCCCGCAAGCTCCCTCGCCTGGGACTGCCCACGACAACGGAAACCAACAACCGGCAGGGCTCGAAGGCGCCCTGCACACCTGCCAAGAAGGTCAGGCTCCAGACGACGCCGCGCACCCCAGAGTATAGGGGACAACGACGAGGGCTCGGCCCGCGCACGCGCGGCCGGCTACACGCCGCGGCCGCGTGCCAGCTCCCGCAGGAGCGACCGCGCCCCGGCGGCGTGCTCTCGTGGCGGGCAACAGGCGCCGGCCCTGCAGCCCCGCACTCGCAGCGGCCCCGCGCAACGACGGCAGGCCTCCCGCCCGTGCCCAGCGCGTCTCCAGGCGGAAGGGCCGTCGCAGCAGCCAGGGCAGCCGCCGCCGGAGCGCCTCCAGCAGCACCTCGATTACAGCACTTCTCCCCCGCTTCGTCGGCAGACGCCGCCGCGCGGGCCAGGCCCAGCTCGGGGGGCTCAGGCCCGACCACGACCCGAGCGAGGGGGCAGGCCCACCTGCCGCGCCCCACAGCGCGGGTCCCCTCCCCCCCACGTCAGGGCGCTCACCCTGAGCCGGGCTGTCCACCGCGCGGACGAGGCCACCCTCACCGATCTCCCAGACCTTGCACCGCCCCCATGCCCAAGCCTCGTCAGCAGGAGCGTCACATCCCCAGTGGCGGGCATGGCGATCCCTCCAGATCGCCAAGAAGGGAAGGCTGACAATACCATTGCGCACGTTATGGTTCACTACGTCCGGGCGCTGCGCCACAACGTTGACAAGGCATGGCGGACGTGGGCCGACTCCCTACAGGACCGGCGCTCACCTTCCCAGCAGACCACCCCGCGAGATCCCAGGGCCTGGGCGGAGGACGACTGCAAAGGCTTCCTCACGCACATTTGCGGCACCACCCCCCAACAGCCGGATCCCAGCAGGAACGCACTGGGACGGGAGACCGCGCTGCTGTGCACCAGCGCACCACACGACAGCCAGATCAACACCACTCCAGGAGAGGCCGGCAGCTCCGCCGAAGGGCCCACCGCGGGGGCCCCCACCCACCCCATCCCCACGCACCTGTCCCCCGCTGCAGGGCTCACCCCGAGCGCCTACACCCTCCCCGCCAGAGATCACTATCCGCCCACACCGTCTCCCCGCGCTGTGAAGTCGACTTCGGCGACCCCCCCGCCAGCCCCCCCGCCGGCGAGCGGGAGCATTCACCAACTCCGCCGCCCGGGGGACAGCAGCGTCGATCCACGCCCGTGCATCATCCGCGCAGAACTAGCGTCGAAAGGAGGCAGGACTGACGAACCCGACGACGAGCGCGCACGCAAGAACCCGCACCCCCGCCCCGCCACCGGGGGACGCGCGTTGTCCAGCGGACTCTAGAGGCGCGCCCGCCCATCGCCGCCACCACCGCACCGGGACCCTCACATCCACGTCAGGTGCACGCCCCACCACGACCCACACGACAGCCTCACACAACAAGCCCCGCCTGGATATCCGCTGGCATTAATGCGCGTGGAACTACCAAGTCCGCCCACGCGAGCCCCCTGAGAAGACCTTGCCGCCCCCCCTCCCTTCCTTCCTTCCGAGCCGCTTGGCGACGCCGCTCCGCACGGCGCCGCGGGCCGGGCCGCCCGGCGCGGCCCCTTTCACCCCGCGGACAGCTGTCTGCCGCGCGGTTTCCCTCCCCACGGCCGGGGCGCAAGGAGGGTGCCGCCCGACGCTGTGCGGCGGGCGCCCGCCTTCCGTGCCCCCGGGGAGGGGTCCCTCCGGGAGGCCTCCCTCCCGCGCCGCCGGATCCCTTCCTCGTTCCCTGCCTCACTCCTCCCGCCCCCGGGGCGGCTCCCAGCCTGCACTCCTCGCTCGAAGGGGCCTGGCGCGCACTTCTCGGGAGGAGCGGGGGGGGCAGGATCATGGCGGAGGGGAGGGAGGAGGAGGCAGGAGGCGGGAGAGGGAGGAGCGGCGGGAGAGAGGGAAGGAGGAGGAGGAGGAGGAGGAGGAGGAGGAGAAGGAGGAGGAGGAGGAGGAAGAGGAGGAGGAGGAGGAGGAACGGGACCGGCAGCAGCAGCTGAAGGGGGAGCAGGAAGGACAGGGGAAGGATGAGGAGGGTGAGGAGGAGGCGGGATAAGGAGAATGAGGGGGAGCAGCAGCAGGAGGAGAGATGGCGAGGAGAGAGGGACGGCAGGGAGGGAGGAATGGAAGAAGGATGGAGAAGCGAGGTGGAGGAGGATCTAGGGCGAAGATGAGCGCGGCAGGAGCAAGGGGAGGAATGGGAGGATGAGAGTGAGGATGATGATGAGGAAGAAACGAAGGGAGAGGACGAGGAGGAGGAGGTGGAGCGTGGCGGAGGAGGAGGAGGAGGAGGAGAAGGAGGAGAAGGAGTGTCAGTAACCTGGGGTCCTCTGAGGGGCCCCTGGGGGCGACGCGTGTCTCCGAAACGCACGTCTCAGCCGAGATGATGTGGCGGCTGAAAGAGGGACACGGGAGACGATCAGCGCCAAATGAGAACACGGGTTGCACTGAGCGCGGATGCTATGACATCAGGCGTCGGGCGAGCAGCTGAAGAGGAGGAGGAGGAGTAGAAGGAGGAGCCACTACCGCAAACCCTGTAGGCGCACGATCATCACTGCTAATCGTCACAGAGAGCTTGTTGAATACATGCTTTGTCCAACGGCACCAAAAGCCACACAACTTCACAAACAAAACGGAGGGGGAATTGTGCTGCATGGGCGACAGGGCAATCCGACTTCAATCATAACGGCGAACGCGGCGCAGAACCTTGCAAGAATGGCCAATCCGGCGTCAATGCGTCACGGTATCGGTGCACAAAGGCGTTCCGGACGACATGCGCGCAAGTGCTGTTTGTCGCATGTGTGTGTGCGCGTGTGGAGAAATCCGCCACCGTGCCCCCTGGCCCAGGCACGTGGAAGCGTGGAAGAATACTACGGGCTACCTGGCAGGGCTTTTCATAATCTGCTGAGGGACCGCCCCCCCTCTACCAGCAGACTGCTGCGTGCATCCCCCCTGCTCGCCGAGGCCCCTTCCCTCGTGCCCGCTCGAGGAGGTTGCACCTCCAGCATGGCAGCCAATGCCCACACCCTCCCTCCACGCGTGCCCGCTCATTTGAGTTTCTAGCGGCCGCGCCAACTGCACACGACAAGCAAAGAAGATGCACCCCACAGGGGGCACGAAGGCCTCCCCTGTCCCACCGGCGGCCCGAACGCACACGGGCAGGACTACACAAAAGGCAAGAAGGCCACCGGCCCCGTCCCAGCCGAGCACCGCCGGCGTCGACCAGGACCCCGCCGCCCCTCCACCCGCGCGAGGATGGTGCGCTTCCCGCATGGCAGCTAATGAAGGGGCCCTGGGACACACAAATAAATACACACAAATACAAAGATTCCCCATATTTTCCTATATATATATATAGATATGTGTATATATATATATATATATATATATTCTGGGTCTTTGTCTTTCCCCCCACTTCCCATATTTTCCTGGGAGTCGACGACTAATTGTGTCTGTGTGTTTTTTCCCCTCCTGAGCTCACGCCTGCATCCCCCCTCCGCGCGTGCCCGCTCCAGGATGGCGCCCGCTCGAGGAGCCTGCACTTCTCCCGCAGGCCCAGGCGCGGCTCCCAAGGCGCTCAAAGGGCCTCCCAAGCCACGACCCCTCGTTACAGTCATCGGCCTGACCTAAGGAACGATAAATAAGGAACGAAGCCCCTTTCTCCCAAGGAATAACGCATAGGGAACGACTGGCAAATAGTACATAACGCATAGGGAACGATAAATAACGCATGCAAGCCTAAGGAACGACCGAGCCCCTTTTGAAAAGTAAGCGTTCCTTATTCCAGCCGCTCACTGTAAAACCAATGGATGAGCGTTCCGAGCTTCCAAGACGGCCAGGCCCGTGCGGGTAACCAAGTACACCAAGTAGGTCCAGGATGCCTCGCAGACGGCCCAAGATGGCCCCAAGGCGGCCGAATATTTGCGACAACACGGCCCAAAATGCCTCCAAGAGGGCCCAAAAGGGCCACAAGATGACCTCCAACAGGGTCCGAAGAATCCAACGTCCATCATATCAGTTCTGTGTTACTCTTCGCATTCTCGCCGTTCCTGGCTGCCGTCAGCTCAAGACGGCCCAAGAAGACTCCACGATGGCCCAAGAGGCATCCAAGATGGCCCCAAGACGGCCCAAGAGGGTCCCCCGTGGGAACCAAGACGGCCTCAGAAGGCCCTTCGACGGCCCAAGACGGCGCCAAGCCGGCCCCAGGACGGCCCCCAGATACCCACCATAAGGCCAAGAGGGCCCCAAGGCGGCCCAAGAGAACCCCAAACCAGCGTAAGAGGGACCCAAGACGGCCCAAGATGTCCCCTAGGGACCCCCAAGACTGCCGCACAGGAAGCCAAGACAGTCCCACGACGGTCCGAACGAGTTCCATCATCATCATCATCATCATCATCATCATCATCATCATCATCATCATCATCATCATCATCAGCAGCAGCAGCAGCAGCAGCGAGCAGCAGCAGCAGCAGCAGCATCATCATCGTCATCATCATCTTCATCATCTTCATCATCATCACCAGCAGCAGCAGCATCATCATCATCATCAGCATCATCATTATCATCATTACCATCATCAGCATCATCATCAGCAGCAGCACCATCATGATGGTCATGATTGTCATCACGATCATACTCATCATCATCAGCATCATCACCATCGTCAGCATGACCTTCATGGTCATAATCATCCTATCATAATCATCATCAGCAGCACCACCACCAACAGCGACATCATCAGCATCATCATCATCCGCATCATCATTATCATCATCAGCATCGACCCACCACCACCCTCATCATCAGCATCATCACGATCATCATCACGATCGTCACCATCACCATCACCATCACCATCATCATCATCAGCAGCATCATCATCACCATCGGCATCATCATGATCATCAGCAGCATCATCCCCGTCAGAAACTTCATCGTAATCCTCCTCCTCCTCATCCTCACCCTCATCCTCTTTTTCAATCATCGGCATGATCCTCCTCTTCTTACTATTCCTCCTCATCATCATCAACATCGTCTCACCATCATCCTCATCATAATCTTAACCATCGCCATCGATTACCATCGTCGTCATCATCGTCATCATCTCCATTATCCTCATAATCCTCATTCTCCTCATCACGGTTCCCCCAAGCCTGGAAACAGGAAATTTCACACGCGACGGCCTCCCGGAATCCCTCGAACTATCGCCACCCAGAATGCTGGGCTGGCACGGTGGCGATGCTTGCCGCAGGCAGCTGGATATCTGCGATCTACAGGAGTCTCAGGACTGCTACGCCCCTTCACAAAGAACTCAATTTTGTGCAAGGGTGACCCCCCATCGTGCACCCGCCAATTGGACGCACTGGTACGCCGGAGGAAGGAATGTGGAAAGATAAACGCGACCACGAATCTCCACACAACCTGCACAAGAAAGCTAGTCAAAAGGTTGCCAGACAAACGGGGAAAGCCACACAAGCAAACCTGCAGTAAATCTGACGCGCGCAAGTTTACACTTCCAGGAAGCCAGAACACACACACACAGGGCTGGATTCACATTTGGAGCACCCAGAGGCCATGCGCTGGATACACATTCACAAACCCAATACGCACGGCCGACTCTAGGAACCCAGAATCAAACACTGTGATCGACCTCGTCTCACCTGTACTTCCTTCCGCCGGCCTGCCGCCAGCGGACCCGCCGCCGTTTTGCTTCCTGCAGCTCCCGCCGGCTCCCGCCGAGCGCGAGGATGTGCCGAAAGCGAGGCCCGCTCTGGCACGCCCAAAAGTGTGTGTGTGTGTTGTGTGTTGTGTGTTGTGTGTTGTGTGTTGTGTGTTGTGTGTTGTGTGTTGTGTGTTGTGTGTTGTGTGTTGTGTTGTGTGTTGTGTGTTGTGTGTGTTGTGTGTGTGTGTGTTCCCCTCTGCGCTCCCCTCGCTCGGCGGCCGACCTCTCCCTCTCCAGCCGCCTCCGCGCTCCGTGCCCGCCGCGCCCCGCGGGCACCGACCCCCGCACCTGCGTCCGCCGCCTCCTCCTCCTCCCCTCCTCCTTCTCCTCCTCCCCCCCCTCCCCCTCCCCCTCCTCCTCCCCCCTCCTCTCCTCCTCCTCCTCCTCTCCTCCTCCTCCTCCTCCTCCTCCTCCTCCTCCTCCTCCTCCCCTCCTCCTCCTCCTCCTCCCCCTCCTCCGTCCTCCCCCTCCTCCTCCTCCCCCTCCTCCTCCTCCGCGTCCGAGGCAAAGCCAGAGGCCAGGCCCCGAGGCGAAAGGAGGGGGCACGCCCTGGATGCCAAGGCAGCGCCTCCGGGGGGCCGCATCGCACGAGGCGCGGGAGCGGCGTGTCGAGCGTGCATAACGCCCGCAGCTGAGCGCTGGGACCAGCCAGGTCGAACGCAGTTAGGCATCGAACGGTTCGAACGGGTCGGACGAAGCGGAGCGCACAATCGTGGCTGGCTTCCATGGCGCCTCCAGGCGCCGGAGGCGCCCGGGTACCAGGGAAGATACCCGGCAGCGGGGCCGAACACAGGTGCACGCAAGAGATGTCGTAGCCCCGCCTTTCCCTACCCCCGAATCGTCCGAGCCGAGACTTTTTCGAAGCACCATATCATCCCAATCTGCGGCTCGTGAGACGAGCCCCATGGGTACCACGTCGACGGGTCGACCGACAATGCAGGCCTTTTCACGGGTTAGACGGACAATTCGGCGGTGGACAAACCTCCCTTTAGTAAACCTCCCCTTAGTGTAAACGGCCTGGGGCCAAAACCGACGGACCTGGACCCGCAAAAATGACGGCCGCGACGCCCTCTCGCGAA